TTGGCAGAATGGATGAGGATGCAACGATGAACCAGCTGTGGGAAAGGGCTTACGCAAGGGGCCATATTCCTTCTGTTGGTGGAGGCTGACCGATAAATGGTTTGAAAAAGTCCCATTTAGACAAAAGAGACACTCTGCCTCCCAAAAAGCCCGTGCGAGTTTTGTCTGTGTGTGCACCTGCCTCCTTTAGCCCTTTCTCTTTGCTGAAACAAGCAAGCGGTGACTTCAGTTGGGTGCGCTCTTTAACGGGCTGGTTTCTCACCCGGTAACTTCAAAGTCCACCACTGATATATATATATATATATTTTTTTTAATTAGTTTAGCACTGCTTTCTGTTAACCACCTTCCCTCCACGCCCACTACCCCTGCAGGGAAGGTGACCCTTTATTACCAGCAAGGCTGCACCTCCGCCCTGAACTGCGGCCGAGAACGAGCGTCCGACGCAGAATCCCGCCTGACGTCCCGGTATTCCTGCTGCGAGACGGACCTCTGCAACGAGGAGTGGGATGCCGACCCCACGGACTAGCCCGCAGCAGGAGGGGGCAGGATGGGGGGGCTACTGGCGTGGGCCGGCCCTTTCAACGCTATGAGCCTTCAACTTAATCTCGAATGCTTATCGCCCCAAATTAGGACGGTTGGACCCCGCTCTGTCTGCAGAGCTCCCCTATGCGTCTGGCCTGATTTTATTCCAGCTCTAGCAATAAACCTGCAGGCTTATAACTGGCAGCTGCATTTGGCTCGTGTGGGTTGTTTTCCTTCTCCAGACGGACGCGCCTATTAACAGCTCTTCAGACTCAGCATTCCTGGTGGTCTGGAAGCAGCTCGTGGCCCTGAACATGATCCTGCTACTAAAAGCCCAAGGGCAAGCCAAGGTGCTTTCCCCTGGTCGCATCCCTTTTTTTTTTTTTTAATTTTTTTTTTTTTTTTTCCCTTACAGTGCAGGGCTGGGAACTGCTTTGTTGGGAACTTTTCACCAAGGGTTGCAAAGGAGAGCATCAGGGAGCTGCTGGGAGCCAAAAGAAACAAAAGGACACCTATATCTAATAGATATTAGGTATTTATTTCATGAAATCATAGAATCATTTGGGTTGGAAGGGACCTTAAAGATCATCTGGTCCCAGCCCCCCTGCCCTGGCAGGGCCCCCTTCCCCCAGCCCAGGGGGCTCCCAGCCCCGTCCAACCTGGCCTTGAACCCTTCCAGGGAGGGGGCAGCCACAGCTGCTCTGGGCACCCTGGGCCAGCGTCTCACCACCCTCATGGCGAAGAGGGTGAGACCTGTGCTAACCCAAAATTCCCTTCCTGGTCAACAGAAGTTGAGCCATCCACCTAACGTAGACAGTAAAGGTCCTTCAGGTAGGTCCCAAACTCCTGGTGTTGGCTTCAGACGAAACCTAAAGGAACAGCTTGGTCAGTTCAGGACACCCTGAAGAGAAGAAGGTAATGCATTATAGGCAGTTCTAAAAAAAAGGTGTTTGGTGTTTTTTTTTTTTTTTTTAAGAAACACTCATCTTTGAGGGCAAAACATCTATGGTGGGGGAAGAAACCGTGAGCATAAACAGCTGGTATCATGTAGAGGTGGAGATTCTGCTGTCATCACTATCTGGTCTAAGAAAAGGGGTGTTTTGGACTTTTTCCTGTCTTGCTGCATCAGGAGAGAGGGGAAAAAAGGAAAAGAGGGTTTATTTACTTTGAGGCATTTGCAGCTGGGAAGCACAGTGCTGCAAGAAGCTATTTAGCTAAATGACAGATCGTGGTTTTGTTTTTGTTTTTTTTTTTTTTTAAATGAGGATTTTAAAAATCCTGTCTGCTGCACAGGGCAGCAGAGGGAAGGGATGCTCCTTTTGATGATTGCCCCCCCCTTGAGGAGTTTGTTTTTCAGATTAACTGCTGGCCGTAGAGATTCCTACGTGGCTTGGGGATGTAGGGGCTTCCTCCTTGCGCGGATGCAGGTGTCTTCTGGAGCCGGGTTCAACTTCCAACCTGTTTCTGGAATGAGAAGTTTGGAGGAGAGCCCTTCCAGCCTTGGGACTGAGCCCAAAATCTCTGTCCATCCAGCCATGTAGCTGGGTCCAGTTTGGGGGTAAGGAGGGGGAACCCCAGTGCAGGACAGGGATCGCTTGCACGTGTCCTACCTGGAAGAACACTCAAGAGAGCTTGAACGTGCTTGGACTCAATGTAGGCCAAAACTCCAAAGGATGATCAGCCCCAGGGTGGTTTGATACCAAAAAACCAGTCTTGCAGGAAAGCACATTGTTAGGGTTGCATTTTTCTTTTATTTTCTCCCTCCTCTCTGTTGTTTTGGACGTCCCAACCTCTCCTTACCTAAGCCAGCCACCCGTGGTAGGTGGGGAGATCTCCTCCAGGAGATGTTTCTGCATTTCTTTGCATGATGCTGCCCCAAAGATGAGCTGGGACATTGGTGGGATGAAAAGCTTTGCTCCTTCCCGAGCCTTCTGCTCCTCTGGAAGGAGAGATGGGGCTCTGGAGAGGGTTAAAGGGGTGCAGAGACCCTTTGCAGAGGGTCTGGGCTTGGAGACAGGTGGAGGGAGGTGCTGGAAACGTGATCCAGGCTCTGGGCAGGGAAAAGAGCTTTGGCACGGAGGAGGAGAGCAGAGCTGGAGAGGCTGAGGAGGAGGAGGAGGGAAGGAGGTCGGTGGGTGCCCAGGATAGATGCGATGGGGGAGGGGAAGGAATGGTAAGTGAGATGGGGTGGGGGGAAGGGTGACAGAGGGGACAAATGGGGCTACCGAGGGCTGGGAAGGAGCAGGAGCTTGAGCGGCGCCGAAATGTCAGAGGCAGCCAGGGCTCGGGCTGGTTTCCTCCGTCAGAGCGTGGTGGAGCGTCTGCCGCGGGCTGCGTGCCGCTGGGAGCCCTCGGCCACCAGGTTCACCCCCCACTTGCCCCCCACTAGCACCCTCCCGGGGCAAAAAGTTGGGCGATTCGGGAGGATGCCCCTTTCCTACGCCTCTGCTCCGAGGTACGCGGGAGGTCAGAGGGAGGGTGGTGGGATGAGCTTGTCCATCTGTCCTTTTTTCTTTTTTTTTTTTTTTTTTTTCCCTACATCCACCTTGTTCTCCTCCTGCTTTTCCCACAGGGCTGCTCGCTATTGAGGTGTATCACTGTTTTTTGGTTTGATTTTTTTTTTTTTTTTTTGCTCTATCATATGGATTTCTCTCCAGCTGATAGGCCACCACCTCTTCCTTTCTCTCTGCAGATACACGATGAAAAAATATGCGTGTGACATAAGAAAAACGTATAGTTTGTGTTCATTTACAGATTGAGAGAAATGGAAGGTGGAGGAGAAAGCAATTTCCCTTCCATAGGGAGTGATGCGCGTGTGTGTAGAAATATATCTCGAGGTATATGAAAAGGAGTGGGCAGCACTGAGGTGGAAACGGTGGTCTGCAGAAAAATTAGTTTTCCATAGGGAACTGTGGACTTATAAATGGGTCTAATTGTGTATATAGGGATATATGTGTGTACCTATATATGGTCCTCCCTATATATGAGTCTTTGTGTGAATATATACATATAAATATATATATATATATTCTGCTGTTCACCCGAGCCGCTTGTTCTGTGTTATTTCTGATCACAAACTAACATGGGTCATAGCAAGCACTGATATTTAGATTTTATTTTCCTGTGAGATGCTGAGGGATCCTTCTCAAAGCCCTGATTTTTTTAAAAAAAAACCTGACCTGAAAAAGCTCATTTCCAGTTCCAAATGAGCAAGTCTGGATTGGCAGTAAATGCATGCTGAAGTCTGATGCTCCTGTTCAGCAGTTAGAAATGTTTTAAAGTCACGAAAGAGGTTCAAGTGGAGGATAGATACACCTCCTCAGTGTTTTTTGTTTGTTGGGTTGTTTTTTTTTTTTTTTCCCCCCTCCAACTGCAAAGGCATCAGGATGAACACAACCTGTAACACAAATCAGAAATCCTTTGAAAACCCCTAGCATCAGGACACCAAGACCAGTTTTGCTAATATCACTCCTCCAGTACAAGCTCAGGGCTTGGGACTTGCCTCTCTTTAGCTCCAGACATCTCCAAGGGAAAGATCTCCACTTGGATGTGTCAGATCAGCTGGGCTGACTTGGAAAACAGCATTTAGGGATAGGATCACTTGATCTGTTTTCAAGTCTTCGTTAGGAGAAGATGAATCACGCTCCAGAAGCGCCTACCTTTCTCTGTTGATGGTAATGTGACACTCCACGCTCCCTTCCCCAAGTAATTAGGTGATTGTCACCCACTTTTATCTCTGTGTTTCCCAACAAGAGCTTTGGTGAGCTGCTCAGGTGGAGACAACCATGTTCTAGACAAACCGCAGCCAAGGAAGGTCCTCATACACTAATTGTCATTCCTGTTTAATGCCAGACCTCCAAAGCTGCACGCAAGGTTTCTGGAAGACAACAAGTATTTTTTTTGAGATGCAGGACTCCAATCTAGAGCTTAATCTTTATGGTTTGGGGAGAACTCGAGCCCAGATCTTGATATAGACTCTGCATCCTTGTGTATTCCCTTTCCCCTGTTGCTTTTTATGGTCCCTGTTGAGCCCTGGAGCTCAACCAAGTCATCCGAGTCCCCAGCTGAAGCACTGAGGGTGAAATGAGTCTTTAACGAGCGGTCGGCTGGTTACCTGGATCAGAGCCTAGAGCAGCTGCTAAACGCAAGCCTCAGGGCTCAGATCTTCCATTTAGCACCAGGTCGGCCAAAAAGCAATGAGACCCAGATCTGGTGGCCGTACCCCACGCCATTTCCCTTTTCCCACCTTCCCTCCTGCAAATAAAACAAAACAAGGACAGGGGGCCCAGGATTTGTGGGGGACCAAAGGGCTGGGTTGTATTCCTGCTTTCTTTTTTCCTCCATCTATGTGTTGTCCCCTAATTCTGAGGTCTTCGTTGCCAGTTTAAAGAAACCGGACACTGCAGAAGTGACCTTGGGCGGCGGGCTCGTTCCTGGAAGAGGAACGCCCACTCAGGGCTGGATGCCAAGCATTCATGTTCCGCGTCCAGCCCCGGTGAAATCAGTCCTTGACTGCAGGAGAGAGGCCATGGCAGCCGTGTTTCTGCCGGGCAATCTCCAGGATGAAGCCACTTGCTCCGTCTGCCTGGAGTTCTTCAAAGACCCCGTGTCCATCGAGTGCGGGCACAACTTCTGCCGGGCGTGCATCATCAAGAGTTGGAAGGATCTAGAGATGGATTTCCCCTGCCCGCAGTGCCGAGAGGTCTTCCAACAGAAGAGCTTCAGACCCAACCGGCAGTTGGCCAACATGTCCGAGATCATCAGCCAATTCACCCTCCGCGGGGCCAAGGGTGCCGAGGAGGACGGGCTCTGCGTGAAGCACCGGGAAGCCCTGAAACTCTACTGCAAGGACGACCGGAGAACCATCTGCGTGGTGTGCGACAGGTCCCGGGAGCACCGCCCGCATGCCGTGGTACCCATCGACGAGGCGTCGGAAGAGTACAAGGTACCCGTCTGTCTGTCTGTCTGTCCACCCCGAGGAAGACCTCCCCCCGCCAGGTCCTTCAGCCTCACGGTGGTGCGTGTTGCGCCGTCCCGCGCTCGCTCAAGTCCCCGCGTGGTCACCTGGCTTTCCCATGCTCAGCCTGGCGTTCCACCGCCCTGCAAAGAGCTGGCTGCTGCTTTCTAGCTTTCCAAAGACCTGGAAAACCCCTCTCCTTTCCAGATATGCAAAACCTTCTCGTGCGTTCGCACCATCACCGCGGCTGGGGAGAGCGTGGGATTAAAGGAGGCTGCGAGATAGGGTTTCTCCCGTGCAAGCTCCTGCAGAAGCCCTGGCCTTGAGCCATGCAACCATCACGCTGCAAACGCTACCTGAGGGCACCACCTTATGGGTAGGGTAACAGCTGATGGAGCAAACATCCACATCTATTTTAGGTCCGGGCGAGCATCCAAAGATGAATCAAAGTTGATTAAAGCCGGGCTGAGCTTTGTGCCAAGAGCAAAGACGGGGGAGGTGGTAGAAGCAGCAGCCGATGAAAACAGCGCTTGTAGCCTCCCCTGGCATCCTCCGTCTCCTTCCTTTGTGCTCGCTGCGTGCTTTTGAGCTTGTGGCAGTCCTTGGAGGGGTGTGAATGTGGGTGTCTGGGTGAGCGTGGGCAGAGCTGAGCCAGCGTGTTCACCCGGTGAGAATGCCGCCCGTGTTTTCCTTGCAATCCCGCTTGCCTTTGCACGTCTGCAAAGAGCAAACTGCGTGCGGGCAGAATAATGCGGCACAGGGAATGAGATGCAGCAGAAGAATGAAAAGAACAGTAATATTTTCTTTTTTTTGTTCCTAGGACAAAATCCAGGGACGTTTGGATTTCCTGAAAAAGGAGAGGCAAGAGCTGCTGGAGTTTAAAGTGAACGATGATAAGAAAACTCAGGAGCTCTTGGTGCGTGCCCGCAATGCAGTGCTCTGGGGTAGTGGGGATGAAGGTCATGACTGGGACACGTGGAGGGGGTTAGGAGCCACCAAGCCATCCATCTCCTCCTTACCACTGCTGTCAGTGCCTGAAGAAGAGAAATGGATGTTTTTCTCCTTCCTTCACCATCAGAATCGGCACCACCTCTTGGCAGACCAAAGGGATGGGGGGGGGATGTAGCTCTCTCCCACCATTCCACCCTCTTCCTCCTCTTCCCCAGCCATTTGTCCCTGGGGCAGCAGAAGGCAGCAAAGAATCTGCTGCGGGAAAGCCCCTGCCCCCCCCCTCCCTGCTAATAACACCCCTCCCAGATCATCACCCCCAAGACAAGTGGCTTTGAGTGACTCGTGTTCCCCCCTACTTGGGACACACACCATGAGGCCGCCCTCAACCCAGGTTTCTGCTCTACCATCCCTATGCAACAGGGTTATTACCACAATTTGCTGTTGTGGTTTTTTTTTTTTTTATTTTTTCCAGCTGGCAGGGCTTGAAATAGCACCAGCCTGCCAAGAGGCATGGTTTCTTACATGATGCAAAATGCAGTGTGAAGGTCCATTTTTTGAGGGCCAGGTGGACCTGTTGGACCTGTGCTTAAGGACAGTGTAGAGTGAAGCAATCAAAACATGTTCAACTTTGTCCATGCCCCAAAGAGCATGTTTCCTGGAGAAAAATCTTCCCACTTGCCCTTGGGCTTTGCCTCAGAGGGAACGTGTTGGCCTGCTCGTGATGACAACCCAAGTAGGAACTGGGATATTGGCAGAGCTGATAAACAGAAGATCATAACAAAGCAGGGACTGGAGTTTATCTGCGAATATAGATGCCCCCAGGGAGGGAGAAATGATGCTCTGAGTGGGTTCTCCTCTACAACCCCTTCTCCCAGTTTGGGTAGTAGGACCACCAGATGATGACAGGGACTGGGGAAATCTCTTGGCCACGGGTCCCCACCTTCAATGAGTGCTGATTAACCCACCACCACCCCAGGGGAGAAAAAGGAAGCCTACATGTCCAGTGTAGAAGAGAAAACCCACCTGAGATCTCCCATGGAGGTGGTGTACCAGCCCCAGACATGGTTTGGTACCTCTTCCCTCAGAAAAGGGTGCGGGGGCACAGCTACAACAAAGATAATGCCTGTTTGTGGAGTAACTGCTCATGGTCTTTGCTGTCCCATCTCCACCCCTTTTCAGGGCCTTTGTCCAGACATTCCACATGCAATAATTCCTCATCCCTCCCCAACTCGAGGCACTCAGTCTCACAAGACAGCAAGCAGCACCCGTGACACTGGCAGGGTGCTCCAAAGTCCTCAGGTGGTCCATCTCCACCCCAAAATCATCACATCGGCTTAAACCTCTTTTTTTTTTTTTTTGCTGCGTTTTGTTCGCAGAAAACCATCGAGAACGAGCGGCAGAAGCTGCTCTTGGAGTTTGAGAGGCTGCGGCAGTTCCTGCACGACCAGGAGCACATCCTCCTGGGGCAGCTGGAGAAGATGGAGAAGAACATCGCCAAGAGGCAGAACGAGAACATCACCGACCTCTCCAAGGAGATCACGCTCCTCAACAAGCTCATCACGGAGCTGGAGGAGAAAATCCAGCAGCCCATGCTCGAGTTCCTCAAGGTGAGACCTTTGCTATGAAATGAGCCTTCAGGTCTGAGTCATGACCCTCCTTTGTCCTTTTTTTTTTAATGTGTTTCTGGATCCTGTAGAGGTGTTTTGAGGATAAATGTCCTTTTTTCCCCCCCCCACACCTTTAATGAGCAGGTGGTGCATGGCAGTGTCGGAGTGCCCTGAGCTCTGCTATGCCAGCAGTAACACACAACTGGTTCAGGAACATCTTGAAACAGAGGTGTTCTCTTCATATTTAATAGCTTCTGATCATTTTTTTCTTCCATGAATTTGTCTGGACCTTTCCATCACCCATAAATTCCTGTTTCAAGGTGTTCAAAGCTGAATTACACCTTGCGTGAAGAGCCACCCCAGTGGTACTGGCCAGATCCTTAAGCCAAGCAACTCGTTTTGCAAATCCAGGTCTTGATGGGTTTGCAACGCTGCGGGTTTGTCGCATGCCAAGTCACAGGTGCCCACTCCTCCGGCTTAAAGGTGTCGGTGAGGGCTTGGGGTGGAGCTGAGTGTAGAAGCACGTGGAGCTGGGCTCAGCAAGACACGGCTCCTTGCCAGTTTTCACAGCGGAGTCCTGGCTGCGGAAGGTTGGCTGGGACCTGAAAGCAGAGCTGGGTTTTCAAATCGAAATGAACTATTGACCAAGCTGGAAAGTATGAGGGAGAGAGCAGATGGAGTCCAGGTATTGATTGCATTGCAGAGAAAGGAGCTGGAGCCAACCCAGCTCTCCCTGTTACCCAAACTCTCCTTCGCAGCTGAAGTGGGGTTTGAAAAACAAACAAACCTGAGCTGCCCATCCCCAAATCAATCCAAAATCCTCCACCGAACAGCAAAAGGCTAATGGGTGACCTTCTTTTAACTGATGACGTTTTGATTAAACCGAGTAGATCGAGCTCCTGGTGCACGCAGATCTGCACGGAGTTAAATTCCCTCCAGGCAGTGTTGAAAGCACTGTAAATATTTGCAGATGGTTTCAGTACTCAGCTATGGGTGAAAACTCATTTCACGTGGTCTTTGCTCAGTCATCACCATTGCACGCAAAAATGATCCTGTAACAATAGGTGGTATTTTTTTAAAAGGCCACGTTGGAAATCCTTAGCCAGCTCCAGAGTCCTTTTCCATTCCCTGGGAGGGGGGCGTAGCTTTGTGTTGCCTTTGAATCACGTCCAACGCACTCGTCATGGTTTATGTCCTTCTTTATATAATTTTAAAGGCATAGGGAAGGGCAAATTGTGTCGTGGACTGAGCATGGGTTTCATCTCAGTGAATTTTCATCACATTGCAACTAGTTATTAAGGGTATTTTAACCTATAATTTACCTCTATAATTCACCCTTCCTGATGGCAAATGATTTCCACTGTCAGGATATGCATCCCAGGGTGGGCTGAATGACCCCTTGGAGGCACCTTAAACTCCTCTTGGTGGTGATTAGACCATGGGAGCCCAGATATCATGGAGACATAGATGTGCAAGTTTAATGCCAGATTTCTAGGTGGTCAAGTTTTGGCAGATGATGTCCCTTTGGCTATTAGGCAGGTGGATACTTGCAGGTGTCCTTCTGTACCTCAAGATTTCACACGGGACAGGTTGATAGGACCTTCTCGGAAGTGGGAGACCAGCAGAGAGACCCTGAGAGCATCTCAGAGGCTGCCAGGTGCCTGCACCTGGGTTCACAACAACGGTCAAATACTGGAACAGGAGCCAGAGAGCTTGTTGCAGTCATCACGCGTGGAGATAATCCCAACTCGCCGGGCAAGGCCCTGGCTAAGCTGGCATGCTTTGAGCAATGGGATGGATGAGAGACCTCCAAAGGCACCTTCTGATCTGAACCACATCGTGACCCGACGGGCATGAAACTGGAATATTTGTACATAGGACCGTCTGGACGGCTTGGTCCCTCCCCAGAAGCAGCTGGGTCTTTAGTTGCTGCAGGCAGTTGGGTGGGATTTAGTGGGACTGTGGCCTTCCAAAGCTGGAAGCAAACATCCGAGGCCTGGAGCCATGCCTGCTTGTTGCAGCCATGAGTGGTGGACGTCCTGGTTGGGTTTAACGAAAGGGAATTGCTTTCGTGCTGGCTGAGTCAGGGGAGGGGCAGCCTCTGTTGCGCAAGGATTTCACTTGGTCTCTCTTTTTCCTTTCTAGGATGTGATGAACATCATAAGCAGGTATGGAGCGCGGCTTCTCCCCTTCTTCCAAGCTTTTTTCCCCCACCAGCACTGTTTAAAGGTCAGTGTTTGCAGTCCAGATGCCAGAGGGGTAGACGGAGCTTGCCTCCCACCCGGCACCAGCCCTGGGTCTCTTCCAGCTTCTTGGAAAAATAAGCGTTATCACAAAGTCTTTTCCTACCAGGCAGTTTCTTCAAAGGTCAAATGAGACCAGAAACCCCAAGTCATCTTATTTGCCTGATACGCAGTTCACCCAGGGCAATGATTTAGGCACCACTTAAGCTCCAAAAATGACATTTAAGCTGCAGCAGGAACAGCTGAGTGGGAGTAACCCAGCACAGACGCCCTTTCCGCCAGCCAGCCGAGGGGGGGGTTCAAAGCTGACATGTAAATCCCGCTGTCCTCAACCCAAGGGGGTTGAAATCCCGATGTGATCTTCTCATGGGGGTGTTGAGAGCTCGGACAGACTGAGGGTGGGATGGGGTGGGAGCATCGCACGCTGTCAACAGCGAATGAAAAAGAAAGTGGGGGAATAGCAATGATTTCCTAATTGTTTTCACTTTTTCCTTCGCAGAAGTGACGACGTGAAGTGCCAGAAGCCTGTGCCCGTGTGCACGGATATGAAAATGCACATCTGCAATTTCTCCCTCAAGACCGTCGTCCTTGAGAAAGTCTTAAAGAAATTCAGAGGTATGTAGAAATGAAACCGGGGCGTTTAAAATAGGCCTGGCCTTTACCAGGCGTCGGGAAAAGGGGATGAGGAGTGCTGGGGATGCTGCGGATGTCTCGAGGTCCCTCATGCCTGGTCAGCAGTACTGAAATAGGAGAATAAATAATGTTGGAAAGGACTTCTGGGGATGTGCATGAACAGGAGGAGGCACGCTGCCAGCCTGCCAGCGAAGGAGAGGCAGGATTTTTTAGAGAAGGGAAAAAACCAGAAATGTGTCACGTCAACTTCAGTGCAATAAAACCTGCAGTTTTCACATCTTGAATAGTTTGAGGCTGGGATAGGCAAGCTTTGCGTTTAAAAACCGACCCCTTGCAGCAAGGCAGCAAATCCACGAGATGGTGCTGAAAGCTCTGGAAAGGAAGCAAGCACCAGAAAGAGCAGCTCTAGAAGAGAAAAATCCCTAAATGCGAACTACGCCCTGGAGCAATAATTGGCTTAAAGGATTGTACAAAAAGCTTGAAACTCATAACACAACGAGGAGAACAAAATATGGCAGGGCACGATAAATAAGGTTTAAAGAAATCCTGCATTCTCTTGATGTCCAGAAGCATTTTTTTAATTTTTTTTTTTTTTTTTTAATTAAAATCTATTTAGCGGAAATTTCCCCCGTTGCTTGTCCCTGTTGCACAAGCTGGTAGGAGCTGGTGTTGCTCCATCCTCAGCTCTTGCTGCCTGTCGAGTCCCACGTTGGCAAAGACAGCACTTTGGCAGCGTGGTGTGGGTGTAAAGGTCCCCATAAAGGAGATTTCGTGGTTCCCTCTGGCTCTCTCACTGTTGCCATTCACTTGCCAATCTCTTCTTTTCAGAAAACCTGCGAGATGAACTGGGAAGAGGTGAAAAAGGTAAAAGGAAAATATTTAAGACTTAGAGCCACGGAGCAGAGACTTTAAATTGTGGTTGTATTTTGCAAAGCTGGTTTTGCAAAGCCAAAGAGAGGGGGAAAAAAGAAAACAGGCACTCTAGATTTCTTCTTTTCTTTTCTTTTTTTTTTTTTTTTTTTTTTTTTAATTTCTTCTCTCTCGATGATTTCCAGATCCAGCCTGCTCAGTTCAAGAGTCAAAAGACGATTTTTCTAGCTGACGCCGGGGATCTGACAGCTAAGCTAGGTCCTTTCTGCCTGTTTACACTTAACAAATCTACAGTGCGGAACAGAAAGAACAGATATTTGAACCCCAAAATGGTTTCGTACCCTTTCAAGCCACAACTTGCTTTAAGTCTGCCAGGTTTGCTCTGTGGCCTGTGGTCAGGGTTCGGGATGGAGGGTGTGAGTGCTCTGCAACCCGCTCCAGTGCAAAGTCAGGTGGCTTAAATTTTGCGGGACGTTGTGGAAATCGCGGCTGCGTTGCTTTCACGTCGCGCCACGCCGGAGAAGACTTGCTCACCAGCTCTCCTGGGTTAGCAAAGGACCGAGTTCCCACGAGAGGTGCATTTGCAACCGGCAAAACCAGCCCCGATTGACTCTTTCGATGCTGGACCAGCCTCTGCTTTGCTTCACCAGCGGCAGCGAAGGAAAAGGGAATGCCAGTGAGCCTGGAAACCACGGCGATGGGCTCTGCAGTGGTTCTGGCACCAGCTTGATCCCTCTGACCTTGCACTGTGGTGGGTGCAAGGCATGGGCAGATGCTGTTAAAAATCTGCCCCCATCCTCCATCTCCCTTGATGTGAAGGTTGCATAGCTGTGTCCAGCGCAGCCAGAGTTACCCCAGCAAAGCCTTCTTTTAGAAAAAAAAAAAAAGGCTAATTCTTGTTTTTAAGGTGGTAGTCTTCAACACCGGGTTTGCAAACCCCTTGGGGAAGGCAGAGGAGGGCAAACTGTGGGTTGGATCCTTTCCAAGGACCATGGGTCGGATCCTTTCCAAGGACCATCCAGCTTATTGGGACCAGACTCTGCTCACAAACATCCCCAGGCGCCTCTGGAGAATGCCAAGGGGTTGGCAAAGCGAGAGAAGAAAGGCTGGCGACCACCGTTTAAAAGCAAAATAGCAAACCAACCCTCACTGCATGTCCATGGTGGTGTGTGTGCATGTGTAGAGGTGTAATTTGGCTGGTGCGTTATACCAGCAAATCCTCTGAAAGCAGAGCAGGCCACAACGTATGCTGCAGAGAGCTGGGGGACCAAGGGGTGAAGAAGGGACCAGCCAAAACCTCGTAGCAGTCGTTGAATCCCACTCCTCTGAATGCCTTAGTTCATCTTTTCCAAGAGCTTTGAATGCTCTTAATTTTATTATTTTAATATGATACCTGAACTCCTGGAGTCACATTATTATTATTTTTTTTTTTTTAATCAAGCCAAATCATCATTCTCAGCCCCCACAACTGAGTTGAAGCTCCGACCCAAATCCTAATGACTCCAGCAGCTGGAGATGCGAGAGGAAGGAAGGAAAACACCTTTTAAAGAAAAGATTGGCATCAAGGAAATTTGCTCATCCAATCCATTTCCCCCTAACTTCTGTGAACGGACACTTCAAAAGCCCTTGTCCCTTGGTCTGATATAACAGTACAAAATGCAGGAGATGTTATTTTAAAGCCATTCTCCCAGTTTTGGGGAGGAACCTGATGCTTAAGTTTGGAAGGAAAAAAGGACCTACCCCTTCCCATGGTTACTATCACTTTTCTGACCCCTGTGAAACACCACGAAGCTTTCGATCCCATCATGGGTCCTTTTGGACTTCATATGCAATTTTCAGGCCCAAATCTAGGGATTTTGAAAGAGCATAAAGACCTTTATCCAAATAAACTCTGGTGCATCATCCAACATGTTTCAGCTCCTCAGGTCCCATCTTAGCTTCCCCCAAAGGGTCTCATTCATTCCTGGCAACTTTGCTGACTACAACCACAATTTGAGGTCACTAACGTGCTTGCTGTTTCCTTTGAGCCTGATTTTGGAAGGGGAAAAGATGTCGGTATCAAACTTCATCTACATGCATGTTTCTTTTGGGCTGTCCAGATGTGATCTGGTGCGTAAAGATGCCCTTAGGTCATGGCTTTCCATGAGGACTTGTCATCATGGGGTAGTCTGGGGACAGATATTCAGCAGTTTATGATCTGAGGGGTGTGCGTACCCCATCTTGTGTCTTGTTCATTAGATGAGCCAGAAACAAAAAAGAAAAATACATCAATTTCTTTGGGAAAAAGGTCTTGACCTCAGGTCCATTTTTACTGTATGTAATTGCTAATCATTTGCATGTGGTTTCATTGTGTTCTTTGCTCCTAATGTCCTTTTGTTGTTGTTACCCCATTTCTTAGCAGCAGCACGAGTTTTGCCCTCCCATGAAGGGAATTGGGGTGTCAGGGTGGGAGGACAGATGAGTCCCCCCAAGCCAGTGTTTGAGGGGTGCTGGCTGGTGGCGCCGCTGAAGGATCATGAGCTGATCAAAGGGCCAAAGACTACGACGCAGTTGTAGGTCTTCCTCTAGGACATCCTGAACCAGATCTTGGTCCTCATTTACCACGATTTACTTTGCCGTGTTGTTCTACACCTTCGCCTGGTGGGAATTAACCCCTAGTGAGGATTTGAAAAGCCGAGGTAGATGCTCATCCCACATCTTTAACTGGGACCTTCCTCGCCCACCTCCAAGTTTCTCACACAGGTAGCTTGTCCCTGTGTGCTGGTAGAGAGGAGCAGCATATTTGTTAACATCTAAAATTACGCCTCAAATTTAGCCCCAAGCCTCCACGCTTCCTGCAGATTCAATGGTGAGAGGGGGCATCTCAAGAACCTCAAAGCCAAGCCAATGTCTGAACTTGGCTTTTCTTCACCACAGACTGTCCAGGGAGCTGAAGAGGAGCAGTTATTGAGGTTGGGGTACGGTTATTGAGGTTGGGATGTGGTTCAGCAACTGATAAAAACATCCCCATCTTGGGCTTTTAATTGTTAAAATTCTTACTGAGTTGCTATCGCTGTCATCCACAGAGGACCTCACCCTGGACCCCGATTCGGCAAACCACCTCCTCATCCTCTCTGCAGACCTCAAGAGCGTGAGGATGGGCTGTAGGAAACAGGAGCTGCCCGACAACCCCAAGAGATTCGACACGAACTCGCGGGTGCTGGCTACCACGGGCTTCAAGTCGGGAAGACATTACTGGGAAGTGGAGGTGGGGGCCTCGGACGGTTGGGCCTTCGGGGTGGCCAAGGAGTCCGTCAGGAGGAAAGGTCTGACACAGTTTTCGCCTGAAGAAGGGATCTGGGCAGTGCAGCAAAACGGAGGTCGCTACTGGGCGGTCACCTCGCCCCAACGCACCCCGCTGTGCCTCAGCCAAAAACTCAGTAAGGTCAGGGTGTACCTGGATTACGAAGGGGAAGAAGTCTCCTTCTACAACGCTGACAACATGCAGCACATCTTCACCTTCAACGTCGCCTTCCAGGAGAAGGTGTTCCCTCTCTTTTCGGTTTGTTCCACCGTCACCTACATCAAACTGTGCCCCTGAGATTTCTGAGGGGCTTCGCTGAGGACCTGTCTCCATGGTCTTTACTGGATGGTGCTTGGACATGAGTGATGAGCACAAGAGACCACCCAGTCAACCACGCAGCCTGGTTCGTTGGTACGTAGGAAGGCAGATAGCTGATAGATGGGTAGCCATGTAGTCAGGGAAAAATATCACAAGGAGGGTCTTTAGACCAGCTTAAACCAGAGAACAGCTATCGAAATCATCAGCAATCCCCGGAAGGTTGTGGTCACCATCTTAAACCCATCTCTGAACCTCTTCAGTGAGAAGGAAACCACTGGTAGTTGGTTTGTGGCTCCAAGTTTGATAACGGATGGGTGGTTTTCTTTTCTTGTGTGGGTCTAAGGATCGATATTAGAGCTGATGGGAAGTTTTGGAGTGGACCCTCCACCCCTTTAAAAGCCTCAAGGACTTCGAAATGAAATGTTTATTGGGTAAATGTCCTGTGGGAAAGGTGGAGAGAGCAACACCGAGCAGGACACTCTGGGCACCCGTTCAAAGCTGGAATAGGCAAAGCTCCTTTCTAGTTGATCAAATAAAATCAAATTGGAAAGTTTTGCTCCTCCTGAAGGGAATCTAACAGGAATTTTCCATTGTTGTGTTACGCTGCTGTTCCCATCAAACTGTAGTCACCACCTCTGTGCCAAAATTAGGAATCCTGCCCAGGTGCCTTCACTCCTACAAGATTTAGGAGGAGGTAATTAGGTTTATGAATTGCTCCTGGGGAGGGGTTGGATTTCAGTGAGAGGGGATGCTCACACCCTTGTTCTGGGCTGTGTGAATTGTTATAAGAGGCTCAGCTGGAGTTTCTGGCTTTTTTTCCTCTCTTGCTCCTGCTGGGAAGCAAAGTTTCTAGTGAAGGATGGGTGCCTGGTTATTTATTCCAGTTGGTGCCCCTCAAATCTGGGCTGGGAATTGTACTCCAAGGGCTACTTTTGTGACGTTGAGATGGTGGCCCGAGCTGCCCTAGATGGTCTAAACCACGTGGCCACCAAGATCTGACCCGTCTTGGGGTTGAAGAGGTGCTGTGGGCTTTTGGTTGCCCTCTCCATCAGCTTCTGTAAGTGTTCTGTCCTTCGCTTCTCTGTCCGTGGATCCTTGGGGTTTTGGGTTAGTTTTTTTTTCTCGTTTCTTTTTTTTGTTATTGTTTTTTTTTTTTGTTGTTGTTGTTGTTGGTTTTTTTTGTTTGTTTGTTTGTTTGTTTTTTTTTCTGTGAAGCAACAAATATTAATGTTGCTCAGGTGTGTTCCACTGGATGGGAGGAAGATGCATGTTTCTGAACTTTGGTGCTCCTGTGTAACTCCTCCTGAGGTCTCCTCTGGGTAGAAGATGTTTTCAAAATAACCCCTCAAAGTTATTCTGCTTTGCCCTTAATAACGTAGACTTTGGGTGCCGAATCTTGTATTTCCTCAGGCTCTCTTTACTGTTCTGTTCTCAGCAAAATCACCCGTTTACCTTCGTGTTCTGTTTCCTTTTTCTGGAAATCCTCATTCTTTGCCAAGACAGCAAACGTTTAAGATGCGGCTTGCTTTGTTCACTGTTGCTTTTGCCAAAACAAAGCAGCTTTTTAAAAAATAATAAGCATATGATTGTCTGAAGTGATGAAAAATAAGGTTTCTGGTTTTGGGGCATTGTTGGTTGGCTTTTTAACCTTTTCTAGAAAACATGTTAATTCTTTTTAGGAAATACAGAGTTGGGATCGGGGGGAAATTTTTTTTTTTTAATCAAGAACATTTCATGACTGGTTCTAAACTGAGAAAAAGTTGTTTCTGTGCATAGTTGATCTTCATATGTGTTCAAACCTACTGGCAAAACCCTGATCAACTCCAATGCCAATAATCCGTTGGTTGAACAAGCGCATTTCCTGCGAAGATAAAAGGAGCTGGTGATGACATGAACATCTCCATTTTCAGCTGGTGGGTTGTTTCCTACCCTAAGAGTCTAATTTTTTTTTTTTTTTTTCAAATGAGTTTGGCTTTAAATCTACGTTATTTAAAGCTGCAGCAACCCTTATAAAGGTCAAGCTGTGAACAGGTGAGCAAAATGCCCGAATTTTCTAGGCTCCATCCGCTGCTGAAGCTATATCACTGTAGAAAGTATGTAAATAAATAAAAATTCCTAGAATAAGAAGGGTATTGGCAGGAGACACGTTCTTATGCCATGACGCTGTGTTTGTCTTGTCTGTATGTGAGAAATGGAAGGTCTGCAAACCACGGGAAGCAAAAAACAAACAAACAAACAACAAAAAAAAACCAAACCACAAAAAAACAACAAACCCCACGGAGCAGATCTGAAACCTCCCCGGTTGTTCCTAGCCCATGAGCTGGAAAAAAAATGTGAAGGTTCTCCCTGCATTCATCTTCTCCTGTTTATTATTCCCAACCACTAGCAGGCTGGAGAACACCGGAATTGTGGTTTGAAGGATTGTTCTGCTTGAAGTCTGAAAGAATTTAAGTGAAAGCACATAGATATTGGGGTGAAAATGTGTGTATGGGGGGAGGGGGGGGTTGGGTTGTTTTATTTTTTATTTCCCCCTCTCCCCCAGCTGTTGATGTTGAGCACAAACCCAACTTTTGCATGTTCCTCAAATCAGGGCTGCAGGAAGAAGCTGAAGGTCAAGACTGAGCCGACTTTTGCCTTTAGACAATCTTAGAGGGGAGAAATGGGCATCACCTCCTGGGTTATTCCAGCAGCAGAGCTTTCCTCGCTGCCTGTACTTTGCCCAAACCTCCTGAAAAAAAAGAAAAAAAAAAAAAAGGGAGAGTTTTTAGGGAAGAAATGAGGGAGATTTTGGGGGGGAAATGCTGCAGATTTGGGGGGAAATGACGGAGATTTGGGGCGACGCAGCCGGTTTCGGGGTTCCCCCCTGGTGGCCTTCACAGAGGCACTTCAGGCCGGCCGGCTCCATAGCTCAGGGGTTAGAGCACTGGTCTTGTAAACCAGGGGTCGCGAGTTCAAATCTCGCTGGGGCCTCTCGGGGTTTTTTTTTTTTTTTTTTTTTTTCAGTTTGCCTTTTTTTTTTTTTTTTTTGGGTGTTTTCTCCCCAAAAAGCACCATCGGTTTCCCCGCGGAGGGGGCGGGGTGAGCCGCCGCGAGCGCCGACAGCCGCGGCGGGATACAGCGGCTCAGCGCGGCTCGTTGGTCTAGGGGTATGATTCTCGCTTTGGGTGCGAGAGGTCCCGGGTTCAAATCCCGGACGAGCCCAATTTCTTTGGTCCAGATTCCTTCTCCTTTTATTTTCCCTGTCTGCTGTTTGTGGCGGTTTTGTGGTTTAGGTTGTTTTATTTTTATTTTTATTTTTTTTAATTATTTATTTGGTTTGGCTTTTGGGGGATTGCGTTTGGTTTGGGTTTTTTTTAGGAGGGTTGGGTTCAGTTTGGGTTTTTTGGTTGGGTTTGGTGAGTTTTTTGGGGGGTTGGATTTAGTTTGAGGGTTTTTAGGGGGGGTTGGATTTGGTTTGTTTTTTTGGGGGGGGGGCTTGGGTTTGGTTTGGTGTTTTTTGGGGGTTTGTTTTTGGTTTGTTGTTTTTTGTGTGGGGCTTGGTCTTGGTTTGGGTTTTATTGGTTTGGTTTGGGGTTTTTTGTTTGCTTGGTTTTTATTTTTGTTCTCTGTGTGTGTGTTGGGGTTTTTTGCTGTGGATTGGTTTTGTTTTAAATAACTACTTTAAAAAAGAAATACTTAAAACATTTTAATTAATCATTTTCCCCTTCCTTCTGCAGTTTGTTGAAGTCCCATTCCAGCTGCAGCACTCTCAGCAGCTCACTGGGAAAACCCAATCAGGGAGGAAAAAAAAACCCCAAAACAACAGTTTTCAAGACCTTTTTGCCATTACGCGGCTCAGGCAGGTGCGAGTTGCTCTTTTATTTATAAATCAGCCCTTCCCTGCTAATACCTTTTTGTTCTCCTCCCAAACTCCACGAAGAGGCGATTGCTGCTCACGGTCTCCTCAGGCCTCCAAATTTTGCCTAAATCGCGTGGTTTGTGCGCAGAAATCCAATATTTCCCATTGCACAAGGGCTGTGGGTATGTAGAAACGCTCCAGATTTTTCCCTCATGGGCTGTTACCTCCACTGTGCTGATCTTGGCTCCATCCCCATGGAAAAAAAAAAAAAAAAAATTAATAGCAACTGTGAATAAGCAGCTCCTGCTGTTAATTTTAGATATAAAAATCGTTCGGGAGCTTGGGTGAATCAAGGTTGGGACATGAGGTTTGTAAATGAGAGAAATCAGAGAGAAGTATGGGGTTTTTTTTGTGGTTTTTTTTTTTCCCCCAGAGAAATGCAAAAATCTGGCACATTTAAGCGTTGGCATAGGATGAGCTGTATTATAATTCTCTCTTCTTCCAAAAAGGAATGTACTATTAATTATTTCTGAAGTGACCTATAGGGAATAATAATAAAGATTAAGTTACTCAAGCAAAAACACAGAAAAAAATAATCAAGGGTGATCCGGTGCCTGGGTATGGCTGTGTGCACACCCTCACTGCCTTACAGGAAGGTGGAAACTGGGGAGAAATAATACAATTAGGGTCAGCAATTATGCAAAAAAACTGCATTAACAAGGTTTTTTCTGCCCTTCGAACCCCCATGACATCCCACGGCCAAATCCTGCAGCTCCTTCTGGCCGCGCCGGCTGCTGGTTTCTCATCCTGGATGGCAAAAATGAATTTTAGCCCCCTTTTTTTTTTTTTTTTCCACGCCGAGCATGACGTTACGGGCTTGGGTTTATAGCCCCGAGCGCCGCTCGCCCTCGCGTGTTCACGGCCGCCGGCACACGCGGGTATTATCCCCGCCCCAAACAGCCACGTGCGGGGGAACACGTGGGAAAAAAAATAAAAAATCCGGAAACGCCCTTAATCGCCCCGGCCGCGAGTGGGGGAGCGCGAGAGCGGTGCAGTGGGGGGATTGTCCCGCGTGGGTTTCTGTAGTGTAGTGGTTATCACGTTCGCCTAACACGCGAAAGGTCCTCGGTTCGAGACCGGGCAGAAACACTAATTTTTTCGGCTTTTCCCCTTTTTCTACCCCACCCCCCTTTTCCCACCCTTTTTTCTCTTTTCGTTTTTCTTTTTTACTTTTTTTTTTTAAATTTTTCTTCTCTCTCTTCTTCTCCTTTTTTTATTTTTTTCCTCCTCCTTCCCTCCTTTCTTCCCCTTCCTGGTGGGTAAAAACCAACTCAACCAGTACAAAAATAAAAGAAAAATAACAAACCACTCTCTTTCTTTTTTTTTTTTTTTTAACCGAAACACTGTTAGGTTTGGTTTTTTTATTTTCTTTTTCAAAGATGATGGGGATGAAAGGGAATCAGTGAGAGGGAGGGGAATCGGGTGGCTAGTGAATGCCTGGATTTGAAATGCTCATAGTTTTCTGAGGAGGAAGAGAAGGAGGGAGGAAGAAGCGAGAAGAATAGCAGAGCGGGAAATGGAAGGTGGGGAGAGAAAAGGGAGGAAAAAGCTTTGCTGGCAGCGGTGGGATTCGAACCCACGCCCCCGAAGAGACTGGAGCCTTAATCCAGCGCCTTAGACCGCTCGGCCACGCTACCCTGCCAGCGACCCCTCTGCCACCCCGCTCTGCTGCCCGGCTCCTTCCTGCCCCGCCCACTGCCCCGCCCACTGCCCCGCCCCCTTTAGCTCAATCTCCATTCCTATCCCCAATTTAATCCCAGTCTCTATTCCGATACTGGTTTATCCCAACCTCCAGCCCCATTCCCATCCCAGTCTCCAGCGCATCCCCATTTTTATCCCAACCTCCATTTCCCCACCCCATCCCCAGTCTTAGACCAGCCTCCATCCCCATTCTTAGCCCAATTTCCATCCCATTCCCACCTCAATCCCCACCTCTGTCCCTTTCCCATTCCCACTCTTAGCCCAGTCTCCAACACATTCCCATCCCCATTCTTACCCTATTCCCATCCTTATCCCAATCTCCATCCCATTCCCACCCCCCTTTTTATCTCAATCTCCATCCCATTCCCACCCCCATTTTTAGCCCAATCTCCATCCTGTTCCCATCTTCATTTTTATCCCAATCTCCATCCCCCATTCCCATTCTCAATCCCACTCTCCATCCCACCCCAAACCCTCCTGCCAATCAGTCAGGGAAAGCCAGCAGGGCTCTCTGGGGACGAGAGCAGATATTTCCCCAACCAGCTCTAATTAACCTCAGCATGACATTCTGCTTTGTTTTTCCAATTTCTTAAAAGTTTGGTGTCTTCCCAAGGGAAGGAAACACGGAGCAGCCGCCCCATGGGACCCACAAATTGAGCAAGAAGAGGCCAGAGACGCTGCTCCACTTCCCTCCGATGTGCACCCACGTAGCAAAGAGCTGCCTGGAAAAAAAAAAAAAAAAAAAAAAAAAAAATATATATAAAAATAACCCAAATCTCTAAAATCTCTAGATTCTCTAAGCCAGGTCCCAAAGCCAGCGGGCGGTTTCATGGGTTGTTTAAACCCGTCTCACAGGAAACGGCTCCTCCTGCTCTACCCACCCTCAGGGCCACGGTTTTTGCCCTTTTCTTTGAATCTTTGACTCTTACAACTTCCCACCAGCCAGACCTGTCAAATCACCCATCTCCCACAATAAATCCCCAATTTGATCTTTATTGGCCGGTCAGGTTTTTGTGCTGGAGCCAAGGATGAAGGCAGCGCCGTGGAAGTGGCAGTTTATGATGTTTTCTTGCAAAAAAACACTTTTTCCCTTCAGCCAAGCTTCAAAGTAGCCGCCGCAGAGAACCCTCCTGCAGAAAACAGAGGCCGAAGAAACAGGAGGAGTAAATTTGCCCTTCAATCCATCACTTTTAGGTACAACCGTTGCTTTCACCAGCTGCCAAAAGAAAAAAACGGTGGTGCTGGGGTTTTGGGGTGAAAAGGGAAAAAAAGAGCAGTTTGCTGTGGCTCCATAGCTCAGGGGTTAGAGCACTGGTCTTGTAAACCAGGGGTCGTGAGTTCAAATCTCACTGGGGCCTCCTTGTAGAAGATGGGGTTGGCTTTTCTCCTATAATTTGGGAAAATAAAAACGTTTCTCATTGAAAAGCAGGATTTTCCCCAGCTCTGACAGGAGGGATGCTCTTCTGGGGTGTGGGGAGGGGTGGAAAATAAATCAACATGCTGGAAGGTTTCCTGGGTTGGATGTGGGGAGCTGCGGCTGGATAACGGTTTTTTTACAACCTCTGCTGCCAGGGGGGGTTGGAGATTTTGTGTGAGCCAGGAGGGAAGGGATTGCGGGAGCGTCCCCCAAACACGATGCCGATGTGACACCTCATCCCTTCTCCCACCAGCAAAGAGCTGCCGGTCCGACTTTGGGACCGCGGGGAGAAGTTGGAGATGCGGAGGCGATAAAATTGGGCTAAAATAGGTAAGAGGAGTGCGATTTTTTTTTTTATTTTTTTTTTTTAATTATTATATTATTTTTTTGGCCTCCCCTCCACGGGGGACAGGAGATCCCTGGACTCCCCATCGCGGTGGGATGCTGCGGTAAAACGCGGGGTGATGCAGAGCTGGAGGGCGGACGCGGGTGAGGAAGAGGAGGCTCATTTTTGCCTGGCTCGTTGGTCTAGGGGTATGATTCTCGCTTTGGGTGCGAGAGGTCCCGGGTTCAAATCCCGGACGAGCCCTATTTTGAGGGGATTTCTACACTTTTTGCTCGTCACAATTGCCACGACTCGCTTCTGAAATCATCCCCGGCACGGCTTTCCGTGCTGACACCACCCCCCCCCCCCCCCCCCCGCCATCTCTGTTGGGAAATTACTTCAGCGTCTCAAAGTTTTTGATTCGGTTTTAAGGTGCTTTTTCATTTGCAACCCCCAAGCCCGGCAGCTGGGAGCGGAGAGGCAGTTCCCCCAAGAGCCTCATGCAAATGATTTTATGCAGAACGGGTTGGAAATTGATGTTGCTTTTCTTTTTTCACCCAGGATGTCTTTCCAGCTCTTTCTCTCTTTTTTATTTTAATGATTATTATTTATTTTTTACCGCTGTTGGGGTGTTAATAGCAGATAACGCTGTCCTGTTTGGGGAAAACTACTGAAATTTGACCTTTGCATCGTTTTTGTCTCTTTTGAGCCTTTTTGGCATGTCTCTGTGGCGCAACCGGTTAGCGCGTTCGGCTGTTAACCGAAAGGTTGGTGGTTCAAGCCCACCCAGGGACGAGGGAGGGTGTTCTTTTGCTTCCCCCTCCCTTATAAAATCATTAATGATGCCTCTGAGAGGGGAGATGCTGCTAATGAGTGTTGATTGCCACCGACCAAAGTCAGAGGTGATGTGGTGACCGAGCAGGTAAAAACTTTCTATCCTCTCTTTTTGCAATGCTTCGAATTTTGCCCTGTATTTTTTCCAATGCAGCTGATGCTGCACATTGAGACCGGCTCTGTTCTAAGCTTAAGAAGGTGCTTGTGGCCTTTTGGATCAATTTTTTGCTGCATTGCAACTTATTTGCAGGTTTGCGTTTCATGGGAAGCAAGATTAATTGTATGCAAAGCAGCTAAGTGATGGCAGCAAAGGTCTGATGTAATGTATGTGACAGCTGTTTGTTTTTTTTTTTTTTCTTTTGCTTATCAATCAATATCATTCCAACGCTCTGTAAAAAAAAAAAAAAAAAACCAAAAAAAAAAACAAAAAAACAAAAAACAACACCTGCAGCATAAATTGAGTTTCCAAGACTGTGAAATTGAGGGCAACAATTACTGGTGAGGGCAGAAACTCCAGTAAAAGCTGTCAACATCCCGGTGCACAGCTTGTATTGCTTCTGGACTTGCTTTGTATATTTATGATGTTAAATCTATCTCTATAACTTGGTGCTGGCCGTGCCTGGAGCTCAGCCGGATGGGAGATGGGTAGAAGAAACCATGGAGGTCAGAGATCAGGATCGCATCTTGACTGGTACCAGTGGGGCTTAGGAGTGGTTGTGCTGGGCTATGCAAAGGAGAGGATGTCTTGGAAGCAATGAGTTATCTCTCAAATTCTGGAAGGGGAGGAAGACCCAGGTGATGGGTGATGAGTTTCTAAAAGGTAGAAGCGAGGTGAGATGACTTACACGTGCCAACGCTCCTCTCTGTGAAGAGATGGAGGCACCTCAGACACAAGGAACTGAGAAATACCCAATTTATTCCAATTTAGTCATTTCCTGAAGTACTTGGTACATAAATAAATTAGAAATTGTTGCAGTGTGCCTGAGCTAGGGTGATATCAGAGTCGTGAAACCTACTTAGATGTTACTTTTTTTTAGTATTCCCTTGTGTACTCATCAAGCATTTAACCAGGACGCCGACAGTCCTCTCTGACAGTCAGTGCTCTTTCATTTTTTTCTTTAACGCCGTGATGCTGACATTCTTCTGCTGCCTTTGCTTGGACAAAAACCGATTTACCCCACCGAAAGGGCCTTCAAACCGTGCTGGTGGTGCCGCTCAGAGATCTTCCTTCCGCAGGAAAATCCCCGGCTGTTCCCGCTCCCCCTCCTCGCTCAGCCTCGGGTCTTCGCCGCTGTCGTGGTGGATGTTGCTCGCAGCCCTGATGGCCGATTTCATGGAGGTGTCGATCCAGGCGTGAGGCTGAGCCGTGTGTTCTCCTGCAAAATGCACCCTGCCCTCATGCTCGAAGAGAGCCCGCGAGTAGTCGGCGAACTGGTAAGGGGTGAAGGCAGCAAATGCCCCCATGGAGTGTTTGTCCTGTTGCCACTTCTCTATCACGTACTGGCTGCAGGTGGACTGCAGGTACTCCTTGCTCACTTGGTGGATAGCTGACAGGTCTTGGAAGACCAAATCCAGGCACTCCGCATCCGTGAGAGGCAGGAAAAACTCAGCATCGTCATTCCAGGTGTAGGAAGCCAGGATCACGCCCACCCCGCTGGAGAAGTTGTGGCTTGGGTAGTAGATAAACCGGGAAGGGCGGTCGGTGATGGAGTACCCTCCTCGGATGCCATCCTTCTCCCAGAACTTCTCAGTGCAAGCCAGGAATATTTTGGAGGCGCTCGCGTAGTGGATGGAGCGCAGGGCGTGGGTCTTTGCAGGAGAAAGCGGTGGCAGGAACTTGATGAGCCTGGTGGCTTTGGCCGTGGACGTGACAAGGACGTAATCTGCAGTCACTACGGTTGGGGCCAGAGTGTCTGGAGCACGGTAAGATACATGGACTTTGTTTCCCTTCGTCATGATTGTCTCCACCGTGCAATTGAGCTGGATGACATTGGGCAACTTTCTGTGGAAGGCTTTGGGCAGTTGGTCAAACCCTCCTGTGATTTCATCAAAACTGGAAGAAAGAAGGAGCAGGACATGAGGGAAGTACATTGGCGTTTAGGAACCGTGAAACCTTCTAGAGATGATAACAGAGCTGGGTGACCCTTTGAGTCAGGAGTGATTCCCATCCAGACATCTAAATGCCACGGAAGTTTCCTCTTCTGGTGGATTTCTGTGGCCCAGCACAAAATGGGATTTGCCATAAGAGATTGTCTTACCTCTCATTAAAGAAGACATCAAAATTCCACAGTGAGGCAAGGAAGGACAGATAAAATCCAGCGTCCTCGTTCATCAAGTCACCGATCATCTGAACTGCTCCTTGGCTTAGATTTCCTACTTTAATCAAATACTCCTAGAAAAGCCGGGAAGAAAACATAGCCTGATGTTATTATCCCAGTACATCCCATCCCTTTATATCCTAAGCCAAAAGTCATGCCCTGCTGCCTTGTCCCTGCTCCTGATCTGCTTAAAGCTTGGACCAGAAGCATGGTTTTATATATATATATTTTTTTTTTTGTTGTTGTTGTTGTGCAGCTCTGTATCTTCTTGCAGGAAATCAATTTCTCCTCTGGTTTAGCACGCCAGCGCTTCTGGAGATGAATGAACGAGGGATTTGTGGCTTTCTGTGCCCACTTTGAGACAGCTGGATCACACGAAAATGCAGTGGGTTGCTCGGTAAATCCTCCCCACAGCTTGATGTTTCATCATGCCTGATTAAGACACCCGTGATGGAGGAGCATGGCTAATTTGGATTAATTTCCAGAGCATTTCCAACTGCCACTGCTCCTCATTTATTTTTGTGTGGTGAGATTGCTCTTCCGTGGAGTCATGCTTGCTCTTTTCTCAGCATTTTAAGTAGAAGGCAGCATTGATTAAGGAAAGGACATCCAAAACTGTTGTCAGAGGAAAGGACTAGAGTGATTCGTGTCCTTTCTGCAGGGATGGCAGGTTAATAATCAGCAAGAGGAATTAAATTTACTCTCAAGCCCCAGCCCTTTACCTTGGTGGAGAAGGAGTCATAATTATCCAGGTATGTCTTGCAGTCTGTGCTCTGGAAATCCTTGAAAGCCTGGAGAGGGAACATTGATATATTCATGAGAATTTCCCAAAGCGCTGTCCCAAATTCTGTTAGGATTCATCTAGGGTATTCAGTCTTGGGGTTTGGTAACCCCCGGAGCTGAGCTAGAGCTAGTGGATCCTGCTGCTTGGACTTCAAGTTTTGGGAAGTTATGCCTCCGTGTGGCATTTTCTGCTTTGTCCAAGTCTTGGTGAATCTGTTCCGGAGAAAGAAAGTCTTGTGTACAGAGGGTTTTGCAATCAGCTGCCCTCATTTCTGAATGAGCCTTTCTGCTTTTCATCCTGAAAGGACCCTACTCTTCCTCAACTCATCGCTGAGTCTTCCTCAACCCACCATGCAGGTGAGGGTCCTCCACAGCTCAGAGGAAATAGCTTCAATGTCATTTGGATAAGCAACGTTGCTGGAAGGCAACATCCCTTCCCCCTGGGCACGTACCTTATTTAATGCTTCCCTATAAAGCTGGCTGGCACTCTTGCCTCTCTCTGATGGTTTCACTGTGTAGTTTAGGATGTTGGGGTTTCTATCAACTTCCTCAGCTCTTGTCCGAGTGCCATTAATAAAGTACCAGGTCTTGTTGTCTGTCTGGATGAATGGGTTTAGCTTTAGGTCAAATTGCTTAATGAATTCACGAACCAGGCTAGAAAAAAAGGAGAACACATGGGGGACAAGTCCTTGCAAACAACCCAACCCAAAACCCCTGCCATCAAAATGTTAGAAGCATAAAAGGACACTTTTCCCATCGAGTATGTTGGTGTAGCCACGCACTTTTTTGGCTCGTGAGTGGATATTTTGGCTATTTAAGGCACTGCCATCTCTAGTTTTTGTTGCTTGAAGTTGTCCTGCCTGCTCCCAGCTCAGTGCAGTAGCCATGGAGCCCTCTGGTTTATGATCTTTCCAGCTACTGGTTGTACAAGGGTGTGTCATCAGGAGTAAGAGCAATACCTTACTGAAGTAGGAGGCAGGGATTCCCTCGGGCTCCAACCCTTCTCCTTGGCACGTGGTGTGGTTGGTGACCCACCTACACCCTCTTCACATGAACATTTTGGCCGATGACTGAGCCCTGTTTGACTCCACTGCCTCGGAGAGCCCATATTGGATGCCCTCTCCATCAGACCCATTGGAAATTCAGCCATATTCTGATGACGTGACTTCCAAAATAGAGGACTGACCATGCATGGACATGATACTGAGATGAGAAGTCATTTTTCATTCTTCCAACTCAAATGCAGGTGATGGTGTGGGACTTTTTTGTCCCCTTTATGCAGATGCTAAGCTCTGGGGGAGAGATGGGGCAGACAGGTCCTTCCTCCTGCTGTTACACCATGTCCAAGTCCTCAGTCCCATCTCCAATCCCAGCCTTGCTCCTCAAAACACGCTGGTTCCTCGTCTGATTGTGGCTGTGGAGCAGGACCTTGCCTTACCTGTGGTTCTTTGGCAGGCGCATGGCTCCCAGCTCCACGTACCAATCCTGTCCCTCTGGTCGGTACGTCCTGATCCGCCCACCGATCCGACCACTCCTTTCCAGGATGGTAACCTAAAAACAGGGATGGGGTGGAGATTCCAGATGTTCAGGCAGTGACTATTTTAAGCAAACCACCTACAAAGCAAGTTCACAGGCAGCATTTATGGCCCATAGGGTGGGATAGCTCTCCTCCGGATGGCAAATTGAACCATCTGTAGATCCAAACCCCTCTCTGGATTGGCCAAGCTCCCTCTACCTACAGGGCAGTTTCTCACTTCCTAAGTTTTGCGTCGTGTTTGGACACCCACTCTCTGATGAGGAGGTTCTAGTGCTGGTTCAGATGCTCCCTGTGCTGGAAGGATAAAACAGGGTTTTGAAACAGCCAGAGGAAGGCACCAGCCTGTCCCTTCCTGCCTTTGAAACCTCCCTTGAAACTCACAGCTTTGAATTTGGTCTAGCACTTTGGAAGGGTCAACACAGTTTTGAAACTCCAGACTCCCTGCCACCTTAACGAGGCAGGACTGCAAGGGCTCGTGAGTCTTGGGCTGGTTGATCTACGGCAACGAACGTCGCTGTTGGGCTGCGAGTTGCAACAAGTTGGAGAATTGTAGAAGTTAAGGCTGGAGGTGCCTCTGGAAGGGTCTAGGCCAACCTCCCACTCGCAGCAGAGCTGCCTCCAAGGCTGTTCCAGGGCAGCTGCAGCTCTGCCTGATCTCCGAACCTCCTCAGGGACAGAAAATTGACCGTCTCTTTTTACCTTTGCTGCTTGCATTCATTTGGAGAGCATCTAAATGAGTTGCTTTGCATACAGCTTCCCCTCATCCCCTTCTGTCCCAGCCTATGGTTTTGAAAACCATGCCTAAATCAGATTAAATGACTGGAGCCCAATTGTTTTTCCTTCCTTCTCCCACCACTGTGGTCCACCCTCCTGCATTTCCTCTCTAGGCCAGAAAACCCCCCAAGTGTAGGAAAACAAGACCCAATGGCTCTCATGCAACTCTTTACCGTGTGGCCGGCATCTTGGAGCAACTTGGCTGCTGTAAGCCCACTTATTCCTGCACCGACGATGACCACGTTCGCTGGATGAGTTGCAGGTTCTAGCCCATCTTTCACAATCTTCAGCAGCTCATCGTAGTCTTTGTCATGAAGGCAATATTCAGGGAAACATTGAAACCTCTTTGCATGTAGGAGACCTACCAGCAGGAGTAGTTGGAAGAGGACTAGGAAGAGAAGAAAATAATGCCATGAAGGCACTCTGCAATCAGCGTGCAAGTTCATTCCTGGCAGCCTGGGAGGGACCTGACAGCCCAAATTGGCTCCGAGTATGTTGGTGTCCAAACCTTAGAGAAGAACAACTAGAAAATCCATTTTCAAATCAGCTGGCATGATTATGAAATCCATGGTAGCAGCAGTTCTCTCATGACTGCAGCTAAGTGATGTCAGTGAATGTAATTTTTTTTTTTATTTTTTTTTTTTAAGGAGAAATAAAGCCCAGCAATGATTTCTTTTATTATTATTTTTATACTCATGTTCTCTTTGTGTGGCTGCTGTGGTGAGTTCCCAAGATGAGTTTGACGCCTTTGAAAAAGCTCAAAAGTCTCCCGTTATGAAGAATGGTAATTAATGCCATTCACGTGCAAAGAATCAAGGCAATCTTGTTGTCTCAACTACCCTTTCCCATATCTTGGTAATTCATGGCATTTTTGATGTAGGGGTCTTCTCTGTTTAAATAAAGTTGTTTAGTTTTTGAGATACCCTATAGGGAATAGAGATATCTATAGAGAATAGCAGGCAGACTACAGCCCATTCAGAATAACCATTTCTACCAGAACAGACACGACATTATTTTTACAGGGAAAGGAAATTTGAACAGAAATCACCCTGAGGTTTTTCTCGTTTTGGTTTCTGTTCTCCAAAATAACTACAGGGCAACTTTCATTTTGTTTTCCTCCCCCCGAATATTGCTAGTTTCCTTCCAGGGAAAAAGAAAAAAAAAACCAAAAAGCTTTTGAAAGCACACCCTGAATAATTCTTACTCCTGGAAAAATCCCTGGGGAATCACTGCTTTTGCTAGAACAGCCCCAGATCTGCAGACAACCTGTGCGTAAACCTCAGAGCTGTTTTCCTGCAGGTGGTTTTCAGAGAGACCTAAGTCCAGCTCCTGAAAGCAGATCTTTCTACAGCCCGTAGAGCTGACCCAGCTTCCTGAAGGTACTGAATCTGCTACAATTAACCTCTTAACAGCAGCATTGTCTTCGTCAAAGTATGGTGGAATGTGATATCGTGTTGATAAAGCTACATCAACCTTCCTGACCCAGTGCTGCTGGTGCCCGGATCTTCCCCGAGGACCAGGGATGTTGCCTTGAGTTGTGTTTTTGGCATGTGTGGGGTTCAGAGCGGTGTGGAGTCAGCAGCCAGTCTCTCTGCCCTCACCTCACCCAAAGACCTACGGACCACGTGGAAGACGAAGGAGATCCTTTTGGGAGATCAGATTCTCCATGGGAGGAGAGCAAATACCCGGGGACCAGCTCTTGGAAATGTCTGACGGACCTCCATTTTCCACCAGACTTGTGTTGTGGATAGATGTGGGAGAAACCACAAGCACCTGATGCCAGGAGGTCTCCTCCAGGAAGGTCCCTGGAGATTCTGAGCTTGGACCTGTCTTTCCATCTCTCCCTGCACAGCTGGGAACATCCCACTGCACCCAGTGAGCTCCAGGTGACCATGAAATGCCCTAGCTGAAGAAAGGGAGGTTTGTGGTTATGCTGCCAGGAGGAGACGCAAAAGGTAGATGTTCTACCAGATGGGAGAAAAACTGAAACAAAAACCAAAAAAAAAATCCACCACAACAAAAAGAAACGCAACAAACCCTGGCACCAAAGAGGAAAGAAAACCAGAAAAAAGCAACGAGCTCAAGATTCAGAGGAGAGTTACTCACCAATCGTACTCATTGTTGCGGTAAGAAGATGAGTCCTCTGCTCAGATTTATTCTCATTTTATACCCTGGCTTAAAAAAAAAAAAAAAAAAAAAGCACAACCTAACTGCGGTGGTTGAAAAAAATTCCACCAATCAGTGTACCCTGGAAGAGGGCAAAGTGTGATTTGCCATAAGAAGGGGGAAATAACAATTAAGCATGTAGTCAGCTCCTCTGTGGGCTTGGGTTTTTTTCTTTAGTCACCGGTGTTACCAGCTTTGGACATCAGTCATCAGTCTATGGCACATTTGAAGGAGCTTCGTGATTATCAGAATACAGTAAGAGTGACCACACCCTTCTCTATGAAGGACAGAGAGCTTCCCAGCATTGAAATATCAGGTTCGTGTTTTTTTCCTGGTATTGCACAAAGAGGCACACAATTAAAAATCTGCCTAAATATCACAGGATGCATTCTGCATCCCAGAAAGACTTCAGTGATAACACCCAAACTACCCTTTCTGGTGACGAAATAGGGGCATTTCCAGTTGAGAGTTCATCCACCAGACACTCTTACGGGAAGTGTTGTGCAGTTTTGGTTTGATTCCGTCTCCATTAGTATAGAGGGGATCAAGAGCTTAGATGCCTTCACTGAAATGGTAAAAACTGGATGAGTTGTACCAGCATTTTTCCAGAATGGAGAACTTTGGCCTATCAAAGCACCATAAACCAATCTGAGGAACCATTCCTTGGCTGGTTCACCACATCATACCCACCGCCCGGACACACTTATAACTGTGTAGGCACCTTGGCTGGTCTTCTCCTAAAAAAATAAACCCACCAAAACCTACCCTTCCCCTCCAATCCTTTCTATCCCTTCCATCTTTTGCCTTATGCTTAAAGACTGTCTTCCAGTTGATTAGACGATTTGCTGATTTGGTTGAGAAAATGAAACTCCGTGTTGGTACTTCCCAGACTTCTGGACCTTGGGGGGGTGATCTCAGCACCAAGGCAAACACAGGTCTCAAGGAAGGGGCTCCCACTGCAAAGCATTTTGCTGGAAGTTGCTTTGCAAGCCTCAGCCATGAGTGGCTCTTCTTAGTACTATTTTCTTACTGAAATCCTCCTTTTTTTTTTTTTTTTTTTTTTTTTTTTTCTTGCAGTGCTTTCAGTTCTGCTTGCGTTAGAGGTCAGAGCTACGTGCCTCAAAGCAGAAGTAAACTCATTCCCTTGTGCTATTAAGAGTTTGGTCTTTAGACGTCTGGGTGTCTTCCCCAGCCATCCAGACGGCAAGGTTAAGAGCACAGTGCAACTTTGGTATTATTTTTTTTGTGTCTTCTTTCAGTACTGCTTCCTTTTAGTTCTTTACTTGCAGCAGTTCGATGCTCCTGCGCAGAGCAAACCTCAACACCATGCTCTATCCCATTCAGGTCTGTTGTGGGTTTTTACTAAGTTTGACCATAAAATATCTCGAGGTGGAAGGGAAACCTAAGGATTATCAAGTCCAACTCCCAGCGTTTGAGTTTTGGAGAACCATGACCAAGGGATGTGAGGTTTTGGAAAGATCAGGCGGTGGTGCCCACCTGCGGTGCTACATTGGTCTATAGTTTTAAATAACGTCCCAGATGAGTGGATTGCAGAACCATGGCAAGGTCAGGACTGTGAGCACTGCGTGGACATCCCACGCGTTATCCCTTCCGTAGAGTCATGTTCTCAGGAAGTTACAAATTACGATCCCCCTGGGTGACTCTGGTCTTTGGGGAATAGTGTTTACAAATTGCTTAAGTCACTGATGACTAGGGTTCCAATCTTTGCCATCCAGTAGGAACCCCTAAATATATTTGCATCTGTGAGATCTCTTGGTTCCGGTGGACCTGTCAGGTAAACTTTGGGATTTTGTGGTGCTACGTTCCATGGGTCTTCTTGGAAGAAGCCAGATTGTGAGTCCCATCAACAATATGCTTGTTGATGGAGTGTGGGTGTGTTTTTATAGGAAGGTGGAGGGTTTTTTGTCCCATTTCCTCTGTGCACCCCAGTCCTGGGTCAATTTAATCATCCCCCCAAAATGATATTCTCAGTGTTGCTGCTGGGATGGCCAAGGAGGTTTCACTGTGTCTTTACCATCACTTTGGCTGTGCCACTGACAGGGTCAGTCTCCTCCAAAACTGTGATGTTTTTAGTATCGCTACCTGCATCAAGGCAAAGTTAGGAACCAATTCTTTGCATCCAGTTCACCAGCTTTCGTCATAGTGTCGAAAAGTTACCCTTCACCTTCATTTACACTGTGCGATGAACATCTGTGGAAGCTTTCCTTCTAAGAAAAACTGAAGGATTGCATGTTTTCCTTGAGGTTTTTGTCCCAGTGCAAGTCTCTATTTAAGAAAATCCACCAGTTTGATTCAGGTTTAACATTTGAAAAAGGCAGAGGCATCATTTTTCTGCAAAAAGACCCTTGTTTTGTATCTGGTTCTTTTTTTTTTTTTTTTTTTCTTTTTTACTGGCTTGTGATTACCAGGTTGTTTTCCCAGTACCCATGGGGGTGTCTGTTGAAAACCCAGCAACACCTATATTATTTCTCCATATAAAGCAATGACACTTCTTGAGGGATTTGGAGGATTACATGATGAAATCAGTAAATACACGTATTCTCAGGACAGCTGGAGATTTTGGAGGGAAGGCAGTTTGTATCCTCTTGGTTTGATAGGAGCTACTTTAATACACGCCCTGGCAAGTTGCTTTAGGATCAACCTCAAATGACAGGGTTTATTGCCTGAGTATAAACAACGCATACAAAAGGAGTTCCTCCTACGTTCCCGCTCCTGTCTGCTGCTTCCCTGAAGATTACTGGAAAAGGTTTCCACCTGCAACCAGTTACAACATCAGGCTTGGAGGACAGTGGGAGGGATGCAAACCAGATTGAATCTGCCGGCCTGGGTTAGGGAAAGAAGGGACAGTTATTTACTTCCAAAGAATTGTCTTTTGATTTTAGTGTTGGTTTTTCTTAATGGAGGAGAAAAAATGTCAAGGTTTGGTCATCCAGGATAAGAGCTGGTAGAGGTTGGTGTGGGACATCAACTGTGTTTTTGATGGTGCATGGAGGAACTTGAAGCATGGGAGGTGTGAGCGTTTTCACATGTTGTGACAAATGAGCTGTGTATGCAAAGCATAGGGAGGGAAAAACCCAAGGTATATCTGGGTGGATTCGTTAATGAAATAATTAGACATAATGAGTCTTGGACGACACAGGTCTAAGGTGTGCATGCAGTTTCTGTTGAGGAAAGATGCTATTTCAGAGGAATTTCTTGTCATTCATTTCCTGCTTGCCCAGAAGTCTCCTGGGACACGTATTGCATGTCTGTCTCCGTC